CGGGGTTTCACCATGTTGACCAGGATGGTCTCGATCTCTTGACCTTGTGATCCACCCGCCTCGGCCTCCCAAAGTGCTGGGATTACAGGCTTGAGCCACCGCGCCCGGCCTACTAATTTTTGTATTTTTAGTAGAGCCAGGTTTCGCCATGTTGGCCAGGCTGGTCTTGAATACCTGACCTCAAGTGATCTGCCCACCTTGGCTTCCCAAAATGCTGGGATTACAGGCATGAGTTCGTGCACCTGGCCTCATTCCATTCTTCACCATGCTACTGACCATTCATTTACTTAGCACCACTTGTGTGCCAGATGTTGTGTCAGCATTATGGAGGACTTCCCTTGGGAAGCTTGTTAGCTGTACTTGCAATCTGATTGGATTCCCAAATTAGGATATAACACCAGATATTTCCCAAATAGAGTATGTGCCACACTTTATGATAACTGCCTGTTTACCAATGTTTCTATCTCTCCCCATCTGGTTTTTTCAAGGGCAGGGAACATAGGGTGTGTGGTGTCACTGTGGTACTCAGTGATGTTTACTGTTGGGAAGAAGGAAGGGTCAGTCCCTGTTTTTGGAGACTTTATGTTCTAGCAGGCAGAAATGAAGCACAAATAGTTCAAGAAATAAACAATTTAGAAATAAAGTCACTGGGTGCAGTGATGCATGCCTGTAGTCTCAGCTACTCCGGAGGCTGAGGTGGGAGGATCGCTTGAGCCCAGGAGTTCTGGGCTGTAGTGCACTATGCCGATTGGGTGTCTGCACTAAGTTCGGCATCAATATGGTGACCTCCTGGGAGTGAGGGACCACCAGGTTGCCTAAGGAGGGGTGAACCGACCCAGGTCAGAAATGGAGCAGGTCAAAACTCCTGTGCTGATCAGTAGTGGGATCGTGCCTGTGAATAGTCACTGCACTTCGGCCTGGGCAACATAGCGAGACCCCATCTCTATTTAAAAAAAAAAAAGAAAAAAAGAAATAAAGTCATATACAATAAAATATTCTTTACAGAAAAAAAACCCAGAAAAGTAATTTGGTTTGCTAATTTGCCAGAATGAGTGGCAAATATATAATAAAACCTATGAATAGTTTTTATGGCTGGGTGAAGTGGCTCAGGTCTGTAATTCTAGCCCTTTGGGAGGCTGAGTGGGGAGGATCACTTGAGCCTAGGCATTTGAGCCTAGCCTGGGCAATGTTCCAAAACTCTGTCTCTCTATTTTTTTTTTTTTTTTTTAAATATAAGATGGGGTTTCACCATGTTGGTCAGGCTGGCCTTGAACTCCCGACCTCAGGTGATCCGCC